CCCACCAGCATCCCAAATGTCCCTTTCTCATTGGAAACCCCCACTGGGATGCGGGTAGGCAGCAGCGCAGGGAGGGGAATCATCTTGCCAGGGATTTAAATGAGTAATTTCCCCTGGTAAGGGAAACTTCTGCCCGTACAGAGGTGCTCCCCATCAGTGTCCCTGCAGACAGTGCAGGAAGGAGACCCATGGGAGACTCAGGACGGTCCACAGGAATGGCGGCACCACGGCCACCGATGCTGCAGGACCTGGGGCTTGTTCAGCCTCTGAGCTCCCACCCAACGTGCGCCCCCAAACCCAGCACGGGTGCTTGGTGCCACCTTGTGTGCCACTGACCCTGTGGAGGGTTCTGAGGTCCGGCTGCCTCTGAGTGGGGGGCCATCACAGGACCTGAGCCACCCTCCCAAGCCCATCCCACTCCCCCGGGTGCTGCTGGGGAGGGCACATACCCCAAAGCTGGGCAAAGGCTGCCAGGGAGCTAGAAAAAATCATCCGGTCTTCCCGCAGCCTGGAGAACCGGGGCCCTTTGTACCAGCCACCTGCAGCGAACAAGGGGGTGCGGGCTGAGACACGAGGTGCTGCCCAGAGCCCGCTGCTGGCCCTGCCTCTGTCCCCACGCCATGCTCTGCCTTCCTGCACAAGCACTGCCCTGCCCATGGGGATGGTCTCTGTCCTGCCCGTGGGGATGCTCCAGGCCCATAGGGATGCTCCCTGCCTGGGGGATGCTCCCTGCCCTGTCCGTGGTGATGGTCCAGGCCCACGGGGATGCTCCAGGCCTGTGGGGATGCTCCAGACCATGCCCATGGGGATGCTCCCTGCCCATGGGGATGCTCCTGGCCCACAGGGATACTCCCTGGGGAGTACTCCAGGGGATGCTGCCCTGTGGGTTCTCCTCACCCCTGCCCCAATCAGACCACGTCTCTCCAGCCCCTCAGACATGGTCACTTGCTTATGGATGGTCTCAGCCATGGGACAGCGATGCTGGGATGGAGCTGCAGGGCTGGTGCCAGCCGTGGGTCCCGTGGGCGCAGACAGGCCAGAAAGGGGTGGTTCACCCATGCGCAGACACACCGCCACATCGCTTTTGGCATGGCCTCTCCCCCGGCATTACCGTGCATGTAGTCCGAGAGTAGGAAGGGGTCCGAGGTGTCAGGGCCAACCTCCTCCAGCAGCTGCTTGGGCACTGCAAGGAGAGCACACACTGGGCATCACCGCCCCGCTCGCCCCCAGCAGCCCCCTGCCTGCACGGGGGGCTCAGCCGGTGGTACCCGTGCCCCCAGCCCTGCGGGGCTCTCACCGCAGGTGTAGGACACTCGCAGCTGTTTCTTCGTGCCGGGGAAGCAGGGGTCCCCGAAGGTGGCCCGGTCAGCAGCCACGGTGCAGTTCCCCCTGCGGTGGCACCTCTTGGAAACCCTCCGCAGGGCGTCTGGAGCCAGGCACTCTGCAAGGACAGGGGCATGGACCCGTGGGCAGAGCTGCCTGCCCCCACCCATGGGGCACCCCCCAGCTGAGGCCAAGGGCTGCAGGTACAGCCCCATGGCATCTGCATGGCTCTGGGCCCCATTTCTGGCTGGAATCACTCCAGCATACCTATGTGGGCTCCCTCCACGTTCGGGGCATCGCACTCCGGTTTGCCCCGCAGGAATCGCCCGTAATTTGCGGAATAAATGGCCAGGACGGACTTTGGCCGGCACTGCAGCCTCAGCTTGTCGTTCTCGCACACCGTCTTGACCCGATGGTTCCCTGGGGAATGACACAGCATTGTCCCAAAGTCCCAAATCGCCTGCAGCCCCCTCCTCCCTTAGCCCACCCAAGGCCTGAGCAGGGCTGGAGGAGGGGTGTGGGGTACAGGAGGGCTGCCCCTTCCTGAGCAGCTGAGGCCAGGGAAGAGCCCAGCGGTGTCACCAGACTCCAGCAGTGTCACCAAACTCCAGCAGTGTCACCAGACCCTGCTCCCCCTCACCTGGCCGGCACTTGTAGGAAGTGATGAGGTACTTGTGTGTCCCAGGGCACGGGTCCGGCCCGAAGACTTGGCTGTGCACCGAGAACTGGCACCACTGCTGGTCCTGGCACTCGGACAGCAGCTTCTGTGGGACAACGCAGGACACAGATGGGTGGGCG